GATAAGTATTATTTTTAATATTATTATTATTCATCATATCTATCTATCATTATTATTAATGTTCGAGAAAATCTGCGCGCAACGGCGCCGAAAACTGGCAGCGCGCGTCCATCGGCCGGACATTTTTCCCGCGCGTCGATTTATTCAAGCCTGACGGCCGGGTTCGATAGCGGCCCACTCGAGGTTTCTTCACGCGGCACGGCCATCGACGTACGATCGTACGATATTCGTCACGAATATCGAATAGCCCGGCTGGCCTCCGTCGTGCATCCGCGCATAAAATTCACGTGCGTGCCTCTACGTTCTCGCCTGTATATAGCTCGTGTTTTAATTCTGACTTTTTGTCTCCTCTCTTGCCCCTCCCTCCTCTTGCTTCCCCCTCTCCCTCTGTCTCGGTTTCTTTTTTCCTCTCTCGTCATTCGTCCTTCTTTAAAGAAGAAGATACGGTCATGAAGAAACAAGACGTCGCTGTCGCGGTCGTAAAAATAAATTTCTCTTCTCCCCTTCCCTCCTCCCCCGCGCAATGTTCCCTCCGCCCGCCCGTCGACCCGTTCACCGCATTCTCATTCTCTCTCTCTCTCTCTCTCTCTCTCTCTCTCTCTCTCTCTCTCTCTCTCTCTCTTTTCATAATGCATGCATATACATCTTTGATTGTACAAGTGGCGGTGCGTGCGCGCACGCGCGCACTCGCTCTCTCGCGCGGCATTCGCGTGCGATAGAGAAAGAGAGAAAGAGATCGAGGGCCTGAAAATATGATCACGCGGGGTACGTGGCGCGTATATCCTCGCGCGAAAATAAAGTCAAAGGTTCGTCAGCCGTGCGAGACGAGAGATCCACGGGGGAACGAAAGGCGTGAAGTCGCAAAAATCGAGGGAAAAGACAGAGAAAGAGAGGGAGAGAGAGACACGGGTGACAAAAGGAGCGAGAAGGAGCGCGGTCGTCGACGTGAAGATCCGCCAGGAGTCGAGGAATTCCCTCTTCTTCGAGCATTCCTCGGACGGCTGCGGCGTTACGCAATTCCGTCGTCGCTTTGTCCACGCCGAATTTCGCGGTCGAGCGTGTCGACTTCTCGGCTGTGAGGAGAAGTCGCGAAAGAAGACTGTTGCGTCGTCGTGCTCGTCGTCGCCGTTGTCGCGAATTGGAAGTATCAGCTCGCGGTGCGCTTTGATGTTGACGCTTTCAATCCGACGGGAGTTAACGCTGGACAGGTCAAATCTTAATTACACTTGCGCGGACGTCCTGCCGCTCGTTTTTCCACTCGTATGCTTTTCCATTTCGCGCCGCACCGGCAAGCGCGCGCGCGCGCGCGGCATCGCGGAAAATACGAATCGGCCTGTTCCGAAATCGGGCACTTTGGTTTTAGTTATGAGATTGATAGCAGGTTTGGGAAGTAAGTCGTTACTTGCAACGAAGTTACAGTTAGTTATTTTTTTTTTATAACTATAACTTAACTTCGTTCCGTTTTTTCCATCTGTAACTGTAACTTTGCCTAGTTACATTTGTTTGATAACTAGTAACTAATTTAATAGTTGCTTTAATAGTTACTTTATATATTTGAAACTTAAATTTCTGGAAAACCAACACAACGCGACGTGCGATGCGCTTGATATCCAATAAGCATAGAGTTATTTTGGCTGCATTTGGAAAACGTGCTATCATCTATCTTTATCGTTCATTAGATGTAAAACATGGATAAAATGAATGCAGTAGCGCTGATAGTTTCCTTTCCGAACGCAACCTGTATCTCTTTCAAAAAAATTTTACACCTATTGGACATTTCCGTTGCGCGTCGCCAATCCTTATTTGTTAACATAACCTGCATTCAGCGTGAAGTGCGTTGCATGGTTTCAGTTATATAAAAAATTCAAGCAATGGATAAAACATCTCAATATTCGGAGGAGGATTGTAAAATGCCATGCCCAGCAAAAATATTCGAGTTACAGAAAAAATTTTGAAATGAAAACAACTGAGCATTCTCTGCAAAATTTGCGCTGGCAAAAGAATTATTCGTGCAAGTAGAATTTCAACTGCAAATTTAAGAAAACATGTGAGTATAAGTTTTTATTTATAAAATATCAATATACATTTTTGTGAAAAAATATACATTTTTGTGAAAAAAACCTAATTTTTTATGTTAAGATTATTTTTACTATTTTTAGTATTTATTATTCTCACTAAATTCACTCACTTTCTTATCATTGTTATCGATAGTCTTAAATAATAAATATGAATTACTTATTTAAATTAATGAATCTAGTTTTCAAAAATTATATACAATATAAGGAATATAATAATCAACAAACTACTTTTATATAAAATCGATGGAATTTACACAATTACAAAAATTAAAATAATAGTACAATTATTGTAAAAAGGTAACTGAAAAATAACAACTTGTTATTTTCTAGATAACTATAATCGTAACATGTTGTTTTTGAAGGTCAGTAACTTGTAACTGTAATTAGTTACTTTTTCAGCGGAAAAGACTGTAACTGTAACTAGACACTTTTACAAAGTAATTTTCTTAACCCTGGTTGGTAGACCTTAAACATTCTACGACTGATCAGCTGATTAATTATGAAGATAATAAATAACAAAAAATCCATCCATTTCTCTATCTAATATTGCAAGATTAATATAGCTAAAGCCAAATTTGTAAACGAAAACATGGCTAAACGGTGAACGGTTAAGCGCGATCAATCACGGAACGTGTCTAAGTTAATTTAAGACCAACCTTATGACTGAAACCAAAGTTTACGATTTCCGATTTCGGAACAAGCCTTCGGCGTTTCATGATCGGGAGAGTCGATCGCGCGTCGTGCAACGAGCACGAAGAAGAAAATCGGACGAATCAACGCGACAGTGTGAACGGAGCAGAAGCGCGTTTCGAAGACGCGAAAGGAGGCGGGATTTCTGGAGTTCTAATATGGAGAAAAATTCTGCGATTTATTGAGGAAAGCGATTGATCTCAATTTATTTTGCCTTTGTTGAGCGATTGTTATCTTCGACGTGGAATATTTTCTCGATAATGATTGTTACATATTCTTATCGCAAATCTTAGAAAAATTCGTTATCGCGCGCACACGTGTATTCGAAAAAAGAATTTACTCTCTTTTCAAGATTATCGTGAAATAATACACTCCACTTAGGTAACACAAACCGAACTTTTCCTTTAATTCGATATTCTTGATGCTTTCTAAATGCTAAGCGTATTAACCATTCGGAACGTGCTCCGAATAAATTGTACGCTCACGATGAACTTATGACGGGTTCACAGGCATGCAAGCTTGCCAGACGCCCCAAGCGAGATGTATTTTTGCGAAGAGCCGAATTTGGCTCGTAAGAGGCAGAAATCCGATTTCCTTTCGAATTGAAATGCATTTCGCTCATTCATCGTCGCATTGCTTCAACCACTCACTCTTCGTCGCCGTGAACGCTTCCAAGAGAGCTCCCGAGACAGTTATTGTGAAACGATCCGAAAGCGCCTCCTTCCAGACTGAATCTCCCTTTTGCCGAGGAGAAGCACGATAGAGAGATAGACAAAATTATCGAGCGAGATCCCGAGAGAAAGGGGTAGTCAGTGTTGCCAAAATTACAGTTCTCTTCGCCTGCCTCTCCCACCCTGCCTTAAACCATGTCTTTGCTCCACCAAACAGACAGAAGTTGTGGTACAGTCATTATCGCTCATATTGCAGCCCAACACCAATGTAAAAATGTTTCTGCCTTGAATGGTCCCACGATGCGATTACAGTTACAAGCACTCTCTTGCTTCCTGCGTGCCGAGCAGTTTCCGGATAAGCTCGGGCCTGCGGTGTCTCTCGCAACGATATTTATTTACTTACAAAGGATAAATGGGTATTATCCTTTGGTATAGAAAATAGTAAAGGTCGAATATCGATTGACATATATGTGCAAAGAACAAATCAATTTCAGACTGCAATGTTAGAGAAAATTGCAAAAGTCACGAAAAAATATACGGAAAGAGCAGGAACAAGATTGCGCCTGAGAAGCTATAAATATTATCGTTGAAAAAATCGGAGGAATCACAATAATTATTTGCATGTACATACAAATTCTGTTAATCAGTTCGCTGGTGGACCCGAAATCAACGTTTTGTGCTAAAACGGGAGAGAGAGAATAATTTCGTATTTTACATACAAATTTATCTATAAGGTTTTTTCGTTGCTGGTGGCGAATTCGAGGTCGAACTTTTTAAATTCAAAATGGCGGATGCAGTATGGCAGCTTCAAGTGGCTTACCGACTTTGGAAATTTCAAAATTATCAAATTAACAAAAGTCAAGACGCTATTGTGACAATATATTCTTGACATCAAGTAAAGTGAAAAAGTCTAGTACCACTTTTACTTCCGACTAACAGTTAGCGAGATATCGTAAGTTAAATATTGAAAAAGTCACCAAGTTTTCCTTATAAATATCTCAACAAATATTCGGCAAATAAAAAAATATTTCAGACAAGAGTTGTTAAAGTTAATTACTAGAAAAGGATGATACAATGAAAAATTAGGGTTTCCATTTAAGAAAATCAATGACCAGTGAATATCTCGAAAGTGGCGCCATCTATAAACAAAATGCCTATCACTATCTCATATCTCCCTCGATACCAAACAACTTTTACTTCAAGCATTTTGCCTATCTCCAAACTCGTAAGTATTATTCGGGTGGCCGGTCTTAAGTGACTCACCCTGTACGAGCCATTAACCAGCGAACTGATTAAGTCAATTGAATTTACCATAGCTTGTACGATGATACTAGATAAGAAAAACGCCGGAGAAGCGAAGCTCCTCCAAGAGGAGGCGATACGCAAAGTTCAATCTCGTCAAGGATCGCAGGACAGAGGAGTTAACAAGGATGCGATACTTTAAACGACAAAAACAACAAATTCGGAAGCTCACGTCGCCTCCGCGAGAGTGAGCTCCAAAGTCGCGTCGCAACAATTCACTGATATCACATCCCTCCCCCCTGTTCTGCCCACTTTGCAGTGTTCGGCCTCGCGCTGTGCTCGCAATTCGACCTCGCCAGCCGCACGTCGCCGATCCTGGTGGAGCGGTGCACCCGCGCTCTCGAGGAGCAGGCGTTCGCCGACACGACGCTCGACCTCTACAAAGTCTACCACAGTAGCCCGCCTAATGAACAGACCCTCGAGTTGCGACAAAAGCTGAACGAAGGTGGGTAAGAGACCAACTCGCGCGCGCGCTCGCCCGCTCGGATCGCACGATTTTGCGCGCGCGCGCTATAAATAGCGCGGCGCGGTCGTTTCATTCCACAATGTTCGGCGCGCCTTGCAAAAATGTCGTACGGATGCACTCTTGCGCGCGCCGCTATCGCCGCCACGCTGCATTGTGGAGAGCCGGATCTCCGATACCGAAAGCGAAGAAAAAGGCGAGCGAGCGGCGGATCGAGATTTCAGAAACAACGAACGGCAATGAGGCAGAGTGAGAGAGAGAGAGAGGGGGGAGGGGGAGGGGGGAAGAGAAGCTACCTTTCGGTTTCTAAGGCCCGGGATCTTTGTCCCGACTTGCGTGGCCGCATTTAGCATGTCGCCCCGAGTGCCTGCTCTCTCTCTCTCTCTCTCTCTCTCTCTCTCTCTCGGCTGCGTGCAAATCGGCTATTTTGGAAGTGGCGCTAAGGCGAGTTTCCGAAACGTTTTTTCTCGGACGCGCGCCGCTGTTATTTATAAAGTCGCGTCCTGCGCTTCGCGACGCGGCTTTCCGGTATTCCATTCGCGTGCCCCGCTATGGCGAATCGATCATCAGCCTGCCGGTCTCGCCTGCGATCGGCGCGGCAGGGAGATGGGGGGAATTTCGCGAGCGAGCGCGATTCATTCGCGACGATCGCCGCGAATGATGGCTGCGATATCCTCTCTCGGCGTGTTGCTTTCAGATGTCTGCAACGCCGACCTGAGCCCGTACACGCCGCAGTGCATCGCGAGCGTCCTGAAAAAATTCCTGCGGGAGCTGCCGGACCCGGTGATTCCTGTGCAGTGGTACGACAGGTTCCTGGAGGCGTCGAGTGAGTATTCCCGGTTTTGCGTACGCGGGCAACTATTCTTAATTGGATTTCAGTCACGACGACCGAAACCTTCCGTTCCTCGGGAATCGACTGGAAATCTCTGCTCGCAACGCGAGAAAAATTCCATAGAAATTCTAATATTGCAGCTCTTCAATGAATCGTACATTAAGAGTGTGATTTAGTTTCGAAGGCTTTGCAAGAGATGGCACTGATGTCAGTTTTGTCGGGGACAGCTTTTAATCACGGCTATTGTTTCTCGATGCTTTGTAATATTAATCCATGATATTTAGTCATTTACTAACGATAGACGCAGCAAAAATCATGTTAATAGCAAGTATTAAAAATGGAGTTTTTCCTAAAGAGCATTTTCGACACGTGTTGCTTTTGTTTTTTTAATCAGAAGAAAACGACGGCTGAAGGTCATAGAATTCGGATAGAAACTTATGGTGATGTTGAGACCATCAATTGAGACATGTGAATATTGATTTGGACGATTCAAAAGTGGTGATTTCAATGTTAACGACAAAAATCGCTCGGGACAAGCTAAGAAGCTTGAAAATGCAGATTTGCAAGCACTATTGGACGAAAATCCAGCACGATCCACTTCGGAACTTACTAGAGCATTGAATGTTGATCGTACAACAGTTACTAAATGTTTACATGATATGGGAGAGATTCGCAAAGAAGGAAAATGGATTCCACATCAATTATCGGAAAATGTCATTGCGAACCGGTTGAACATTTGCATTTCCTCGATCGTCAGGCAAAAAATGAAGAGTTTTTTGCATCGGATTGTTACTGGGGGTGAAAAATGGATCTATTTCGATAATCCCAAACGAAAAAAATCACGAGTTAGTCCAGGTCGACCAGCAGCATCCACTTCAAGGCGTAATATTCGCGGTTCAATGGTACTGCTGTGTATTCGGTGGGATCAAGAAGGTGTACTATGAACTGTTAAATCCGAATGAAAGTGTCGTCGCTGATCGTTATCGACAATTATAACAACTTGAAGCAAGCATTAGACCAAAAACAACGAGCAATTGCGAGTAAACGACGCAAAGTGAGATCCCTCTTCACGATAATCGACGATTCTTCTGCTCGACCTCATGTTACATTATCAGTGAAGTAAACGCTGTCAGAGCTGGAATGGGAAGTCTTACCGCACTCCCGCGTATTCTCCAGACATTGCTCCATCCGATTATCGCTTGTCCCGGTCGATGCAACATGCTCTAGAGCAGGGTTTCCCAATCTCTTTTGTATTTCGCACCCCTAAAAATTTATTAATGAACCTTCGCACCCTCTACAAAAAAAATTATTCATATGTTTTGCGGTAAAAATTAGTTATTAGGGTTTTAAAGTGAGAAGTTAATTTTAATAATAATTTATTATTACATAATATTGTTTTATAGACATTAACTATCATTTTTTAATATTATAAAATTATTATTAATATTATAAAATTATTATCCATGGTATTAGGCTTCGCATAGTGATACGTGATGAATATATATACGTACAGATACGTAAAAAATATATAATTTTAATAACATTTTTTTCTATTTTGATGGTAAAATGCCGGATTATTTCAGAATTTATCTTAATCATTATTAATTGCAATCACTTTTCCTCGCATCCGCAAGAATGTTCTTTTGCACCCCCGATTGGGAACCCCTGCTCTGGATGATACACATTTTCACAACTTGGAACAAGTGCGAAAATTTGTTGAAAATTGGATCGACTCCAAAGAAGAATCTCTTTATCGTCGCGGAACCCATCTTTTGCCAGAAAAATGGAAAAGAGCTGTAGAAAACGGAGGGGAATATTTTGATTGAGATATTCGTTCATTATCTGGTTTAAGTAAATCAGTTTTTGAGAAAAGAAAGAAAGCCTCAGAATTAAATTACACTCCTGATATATTTATATCGTTAAATTTCATGTGTCTTTATAAAATTAAGCAATCGTAGCGCTGCGGCGTTAAATAGCAATAGCGTCTGGCTACTGGAACATTTACTTTACATTTTCGAGACTGAAAATTTCGGTTCCTTCAATCGAAAGCATTTGTTGATGCGAACGGTTCGAACGTCTTCGCTTCGTGAAACAGAATTTTCTGCGATCGAGCCTTGTGTAACGGAAAATTTCTAGTTGTCACTACACAATATTTTTCTGCGTATGTGCCGAGCTAATCGCATGTGACTCACCCCGTGCCACGTGAGGGGGGGGGACTATCGGTCACCCGCGTTGTTTCATCAGCGAAGTTTGTCGACTAACGTTCGTTTCACACGGGAAAAAGGGACTGCTTTTCACACGATCGACCTGACGATGGCCGAACTGGGCGCATTTCGGCTCGAGGAAAAACGAGATTTTCCGGCTCGTGCAAGCGAATTTCGCACCGGAAATTCCGTTTCTTGCAACCGAAACGCGCTTAATTGCGATTAGAAAAACATGTGGCGACTGTTTCGTTTTAGAAGCAGAATATCGAGCGAAACGTGTGGAGAGTCGTTACAACGCAATTCGGTCTCGATTCTGAGAGAAGAAAAGTGAATTGGTCGAATGAAGGAATTTTCCCGGTCAGATATGAACGATACAGAAATCAAGGTTAAAATCGTCGGATTCAGTTCAGTCAAAATTATCACAAGATTTTTCCGGCGAAGCTTGATAGAATTCTCGTGTCTTCGGTCGAAATTTGAATCTGGCGGGAAAATTTCTTCGTTCAAGCAGACACACCTTTCCCACGTGAACGTCCTCCCCTTCCCCCCCCCCCAAACATTTTGCGACTCGTTTGCGCTTCTCCGATCGCAAAGTTACGGACGTCTGTTTCTGTTGTCACGCAGGTATGAGGAGCGATGAGCAATGCGCGACGCGTCTCAGTCAATTAGTGGCGGAGCTCCCGGAACATCATCGCAGCACATTGTTCCACTTGATGGCGCACTTTTGCCGCATCTGCCAGCTGCAGCACGGACGGGGTTACACGGAACCGCCGACCATCCTCGTGCAAGTGCTCTGTCACATATTTCTTAGGCCGCCCTGGGAGCGAATCATGTGAGTGCCACACACGTGGCTGACTTCTCTAGTCGTAGGGAACGGCGCACGAGTAGAGTGTGTTTCGCACGACACTCGCTTGTTTCTTTCTCGCTCTTTCTCTGTCCTTTTCTCTCTAAACGACGACTGCGCCAACAGCTGATGAAAAGAGTCTCACCCGCACACCCTAGGATCATCGGTGTTTGCTCTCATCACACGATAAAATCGTGTGGGTGATCGGTCAGGAGAAAAGTTCTGACACTCACTGAGATCGTTATCTAGACGTAAATAAATATATGTGTGTAAATTATCTTCATCTGCATGTCTCTTAAATTGAAGAATCTCGTTATCATTACTCGAGATTACTCGCCAGGATGTTCGCAGATAATTCCGTCTACGTTGCTGCGAATATCGTTTGCCCTTATCTGGGTGAAATACAGCTAATCGTCCGGATAAGGTTCTCGCATCAACTGATCTTTATCTCGATAAAATAAATATATATTACCCTCATCAAGATTCTTCGAGTGTTATATTTACGGAATTATCTGAGACGAGATGTTCGCGGATAATCGCGAGTCTACATTTCATCTACGGTCAGGTTGAGATGCTAAGAATTTGCATATTTATCTTATCTCGGGCTGCAGCCAATTTTAAAGTCATCTAAGCGCGACACCGCCTAGGCTGTGCATGCTTGATAACGTGGTTTTTGCTTCGCTCCTCCCCGCCGAGCGACGTAAACTAATCGAGGAAGAAAAGAATCTCGGGTTTGCCAGCTGCGAGAAGCGCCTCGCGTCGTTTGAGCCTTCCGAAAGAAGTGCACGACCGGTCACCTTTAGCGACTATCCGACGTTATCAGGACAATTGGCATTGTGGCGTTTTGTGTTGAGACGCGGAACAACAGTCGCTTTCACGCTCGCGGCCAATTGTAAGAGCGATCGCTCGATAGGGACTGGTCGTGATGTTTAATTGCCAAGTATTCAGCACCTCGCACCGCATGGTTTTGTAGTCAAGTTGTCCACAACACGGAGGCGCACATACGTATAATGGAATTACTGTTGCTGCACGGCGACTGGAACGAGAGGCTACCGGAGTTCGCCAGCGCGCCTCAATTACCTCCGCGTAAAGTTTCGAGACCACAATTTCCGATTTTGGATCCATTCCCGGTTCTCGAGGACGAGGCTGTAGACAGATCGGCACCTGTCACGGACACCGGCAAGGACCAACAAGCACACAGGTGAGCCTAAGTTCAACTAATTCGCAGCCGTTTGTTGAAGTAAAAAGGACTCGTTGAGATATATACAGGAGGGTGTCCCATTTTAAATCACCCAGACAAATATTTCGAAAAATATGGAAGATACGGAAAAATGTTTCAGACAAAAGTTGTGTGGTTTCAGTGGGGGACATAAAACAAACTATACCAATTTATTTACAGATGGCGCCATTTTCGAGATATTCACTGATCATTACTTTTCTTAAATGGACAACCCAATTTCTTATTACATCATCTTTTTCTACCAATTATTTTGAATAATTTTTGTTTGAAACATTTTTTTATTTACTTAATATTTTTTAGATATTTAAGGGAAACTTGGTAACTTTTTCAATATTTAACTTACGACATCTCGCTAACTATTTGTCGGATGAAAAAATAGGACTAGACTTTTTTACTCTATTTGATCTCAAGAATATATTGTTACAATAGTGCCCTAACTTTTGTTAACTTATTGGCTTTTGGAAATTTCAAAATCAGCAAATCAACAAAAATCAGGATGCTATTTTAACAATATATTCTTGAGACTAAATAGGGTAAAAAAAGTTTAGTACCATTTTTTCTTTCGACGATAAGTTAGCGAGATATTGTAAGTTAAATATTGAAAAAGTTACCAAGTTTTCCTTAAACATCTCAAAAAATATTAGACAAATAAAAAAATGTTTCAGACAAAAGTTGTTCAAATTAATTGATAGAAAAAGATGATATAATAAAAAATTCCATTTAAGAAAAGTAATGATCAATGAATATCTTGAAAGTGGCGCCATCTGTAAACAAACTGATATAATCGTTTTATGTCCCCCTTAAAACCATGCAACTTTTGTCTGAAATATTTTTCCGTGTCTTCCATATTTTTCGAGATATTTGCCTGGGGGGTTTAAAATGGGACACCCTGTATAAGTTAAAATATATAAGAGATAAATAAGTTACGCGACGATTGGACGACAATATGACAAACAAAATAATTTGCAGGCCGCGCACGCTTCAAGAAGCCGAGTGGTACTGGGGAGACATCACGAGGGACGAGGTGAACGAAATGATGATCGATTCGCCGGACGGCACGTTCCTGGTACGAAACGCGTCTTCCAAGGGCGGCGAGTACACTCTGACGCTGCGCAAGGGCGGCACCAACAAGCTCATCAAGATCAGTCATCGGAACGGGAAGTACGGATTCTCGGACCCGTACAACTTCCACTCGGTCATCGAGCTGGTCGACTATTACAGGAACTGCTCCCTCGCGCAGTATAACTCCGTGCTGGATATCAAGCTACTCTACCCTGTGTCGCGATTTCAGCAGGTAAGCACCATCACTCTTCAAGTTCTACGATCGACCGGAACGCTCGCGAGAGCTCTCACTGTCCTTGAACACTCTATCTCATTCTCTTGTCTTTGCCGGGAAACAGGATGATGAGATCGCGAACACGACGGACATGACGAAAGTCGTGCAGAAGTTTGTCGAGTTGGAGAAGGACATAACCGACACCATACGGCAATACCAGAACTGCTCGGATTTGTACGGCAAAACGGCCTATGAGGTCCAGTTGAAGCGTCAGGCTTTGGAAGCCTTCTCAGAGGCCATCAAGATGTTCGAGGAGCAGATGAAACTGCAGGAGAAGTTCCAGAAGGAAGCCCAGCCCCATGAGATTTCTACGTGAGTGCTCGCTTCTTTCATGGCTCTCGTGAAAATAAGCGTGAATTCGTGTTGCAATCGAGAACGCGGTTTTCTTTCTTATCTGGCGGTTACTTCGCCAGCTTGTTTCTTCCTAAGCTTTTTAAGGAGAACTCGTCTCGGATTCGTTGGAATAATAAAACGGGACGTTAACAGAGATGAACGTACGCTTACAGTTTGACGGATAACGCGGAGCTGTTGAAGCGAAGGTTAAAGTCTTTGGAGGACAGCAAGGAGCAACTGGACGAAAGCCTGAAGCAACAGATCGCTTACTACAGGACCCTCGAGAGAGAAATGTACAAGCTGAAGGCGGAGATCGGCCAACTCGTGCGGCAGAAGGATCGTCATTTTATGTATGCGTTTCACTATTCATTTCGTTCGGTTTTTGCACGAGACCTTTGGCCTCGCATCGAACTTACCAATTATTCATTTGTTCGCCCGCAGGTGGTTGAAGAAGAACGGAATGAAGCAGAACAAGATCAACCAGTTGGTTTTGAACTCATTCACGAATTCCGTTGTCGGCGAAGTGCCTTACGGTGACCTCCAGGAGGTCGACCTCGAGGTCCACTCCGACGACAAGTCATGGCTCTTCCTGAAGGGTTCTCGTTCCGACGCCGATCGCTTTCTAATGGGCCGGCCCGACGGCACCTTCCTCGTCCGGCGATCGAGGACAGGCCAATACGCGCTCTCCATAGTGTAAGTCTACCTCTCTTCCTTTTTGTCTCTCCTAATGTAGACAACGCGTATTCTCTTCTTGTTTACGTATGTTGTGCTTATTACGGGCATGCGCGAACGTGTGAATCGATGGGAATAAATTAGAATAAGCGATTACGGGCATCGCGATTATAGTACAGATAATAGTAATAATGACACGTATATCGTTTAAAGCGAAGGTTAATCTTGCCAACAGTCGGATTGATCCGCCGCGCACGCTCGACGATCTCCCGCGATAAGCAAAACAGCAACGTTTTATCCGCGATTAAGGCTCCTGGCTGCTCGCCGTCGACCTCTCGCTCGGTGACGTCATTCGTCAAATGAGAAAATGCACGCTCAGAATTTTGCAAGATACGATGAAATGAAAAGACGCATTCGCGAGGCGATAAGATGATGCTGGCAGTCGATCTCGGACAGGTTTGCAAAACGGTTTCCGATCACTCTCTTCTCTTTCTCCTCGAATAATCGATAAATTGTACTGTAAAATTTACATACGACTCATCTCATTAATCCGTCCTGCGATTTTATCATGTTAGTTTTTCGTTTGTCAGAGGAAGAGAAAATTGTTCCATTTCACGAATCTGTTCGAGCGATGCCAAATGTCTCATTTTAGAAAGAAGAAAATATTTTTTATAGTATATTATAATATACTACGATATTATACAGGGTATAATTATAAAAAATACCAGGACGGCGAGATATCTCGAAAACTAAGTATTTTAGAAAAAAATGTTTCAGACAAAAATTGTATAGTTTCAAGGGGGACATAAAACAACTATATCATTTTGTCTACTGGTGTGGTGACGCCACTTCTGAGAGATTCACTGATAATTACTTTTCTTAAATGGAAATCCCAATATTACATCATCTTTTTCTACCAATTAATTTTAATAATTTTTGTCTGAAACATTTTTTTCTAAAATGCTTAGTTTTTTCTGTCCCGGTAGTTTTTATACACCTTGTATATTCATTATATTATTATACTATAACATTTATTATAATATTATATAAATTATATATATATATATATATATTATTATTATTATTATAAAAGATAAATACGTGTGATAATTATAATTTTTCTACAAAATATTAACACAAAAATTTTGTTTACTCCAAACACATTCTGCGAAGATTTTGAACGTGCAATTATCTCGCTCCCGACATCATGGATTATACCCTTTATATCCTGAATTAATTTACCTGAGACTTGATTAAATTTTTGCGTAATTAAATAGCTGTTGGCAATATTATAGTCATAATAAGGAATAGGAGAATAAATTTATAGCGGTTTAATGATTAGGGTACTTAGAAATACCGGCAGGAATGTGGGATAAAACGCAGAAAAAAGATTCAAAAACATATAAGCGTTTATATACAGGGTGTCCGGGATCGTTTGGAAACGAGAAATTTGTGAAGATTAATCCGATCAAACTGAGAAGAAAAGTCACGTACTGTTTTGCAAGTAATTAATAATTTTACGCAAATTTTCAAGTTATCAATTAAAAGAGCTTCTAGATGTGGTCATTTTCAATCATTCATAACTTAATAACTATTGCGATTTTTGGTACTTGACTGCGAAATGATACTTGACTTTTTCTTCTCCGTTTGATCCGATCAATCTTCACAATTTTTCGTCTCCGAAAGATCCCGGACACACTGGAGAGTGGTACTTTCAAGCACCGCCAGGATATAAAGGGTTAAGGTGATCACCGCGAGTAACCGAAAGCATCAGGCAAATTAACCCCTGAATTTCGTGAGCGGATCTCCACGACCCGGAGGTGGCTTGATGCGGCAGAACGTCTCACCAGAAAACCGCGCATTGCGTTTGCAGGTGCAACGGCACGGTGCAGCACTGCATAATATACGCGACCGAGCGCGGCTACGGCTTCGCCGAGCCGTACAACATCCACGAGAGCCTGAAACACTTGGTGCTGCACTACGCTCAGAACTCCCTAGAAGAGCACAACGAGTGCCTGACCACCACCCTGGCCTACCCGGCGTTCGCCTCGCCCGCGGCGCTCTCGCAACTCCAGGCCCAGCATATGCAATTACAGATGCACACGCGCGAGTTGCAGAACCAGCTGCAGTTCCCGCGACCTCACGAGAATCAGCTGGTCGTACCGCACACGTAATACTCGCCGGCCGCGCGTCGCGACCGACCACGTCCGCTCGAGGACGAGTACATTTGTGCGCGTGTGCACGTTCACACGTGACTCCTCCCGCCCTGAGAGGGGGAAAGAGAAAAAGCATTAACTCGCCGATATTCGGCGGCCGAGAGCGTGGAATCCGGAGGCACTCGCTCGACGATGAGCTCTCCTCACTCGGGACGGTCCTTTTCGTGGTCGCCTACTGCGATTTGCTTGCGCATCTCTCGCAGTCACTCGCAGTCCCAGGGATCCACACCACGTCGTGCGGATTTCCATTCTCGAGAGCGACACCGCGCGGTCGGTCGCTGCTTTGTCACCGAGGAGAGAGCTAGGATGGCTTGGAGTGTCTCGGAATAATAACGTGTAACAGTCGTGTCAACGATCAATAACCGTAAGAGAGGTATTAGCGGTATAATTAGCGTACGCGCGCGGATTACCGTGCTGCACACGGTAACGGCCGCGCTTCGGCTAAACGCGGAGGTTCCCGAACGGCGCGTCGCGACGCTCGCAGGGGACGACGGGGAGACTGCTGTGCGTGCGCGGGGTGGGGGAGGGGGGAGGACAGCGAGAGAATATTGCGGGATACGAGTCTGCCGAGTGGTGTGCGCGCGCGACTGTGACTCGCGACAACGAATCAACAGCGCTGGGAAGCCGATCCCAGAACTTTTTTTATAGGATATACATGTTTAGCGTTTGTTAAATATAATTGAGAAATATTTCAACATTTTTTATTGAACGTCTAGAGATAATTTGAGGACGTAAGGGGCAGATTAGGTTTAATTTCGTAAGGAAGCCGGGGTTAAAACGTGGGGCGAACGCGCGCGCGCGCGCGCGTGCGCGCGAGACCGGTTCTTGGATACGTGGAGACTCTTTCGCCAGCGTAACTGCTGCTAACATCAGTGAGAAGGACAAGGATGACCAGAGACACGCAAGCAGGACAAGAACGCACCAGCCGTGTAGAGTCTCTTCTGCGCCCACGCTTACCTATTATTTCTCACCGTTACTGTTAGCATCCGAGGAGCGGCAAGGGAGAGAAAACGTAGAGAATACACCACATGCGCCAGCTTGAGAAAGGAAGAGAGCTGATAAGCTAAGAAGCTACGGGAACCTCTGGATTAATAGGACCAACACCAATACGAACGTCCCTCAGCGATACACTCCCTCAGGGGTGTCGACTCAGCGACAGTGGAACGGTGGAGAATCTATAGCGACCTATGTTCTCCTCAGAGGGAATGTGTCTCGCGGGATCGTTGGCGCTCGTTGTCGCACAGAGTCGATCCGCTCGGAAACGTTCGGGAACGGAATGGGGGAGGGGGGGGTAAGAAGCGGCAGGAACAGGGGGATGCACGTCCGGCACGCTGGGGCTCGCCTGGTCCGCGCCGAAGGTGGCTCTTCCGCTGCTCAGGTGAGCAGGGTAGTCGTGCGTCTCGTACGAACGTCTAACCCTTAACAGTCTAAGTCTGCTTGGAAGATGACGAGGTGGATGATGAGAATGTTTCGGCAAGAATGTTGAATCCCATCGAGATCACCGTGACACGCCGCGGCTCTCTCGGGCGGTCCGAGTGTCTTCAGCGTCCACGTTACGTTTGAGCGCCGCTCGTTGTGTTGATGCGTCTCGTGAGAAAGGTCCGCGAATGTTGATTTATAATTACTCGTGTGATCAATTAGTCCACGCTCAGCGGTCGTCTGGAACGATTCGATGCTTTTGTGATATCGCGTATTTTTGCTCGTCCCTACAAAATTCCCGCGTGAAGTGCGTTGGTATGAATTCACCGGTGCGACTTGCGCCGCGGTACGACTGCATCGAGACTCTTAAGGGTTAAACGTTATCGCTCGGGTTCTCGCCGATGTCGTCGGTGCTCGAAATTCCAGGTCTCGTCGGCGATTTCGCTGGTGCAAGCGTCGTTTGAAACGTCGCAGAGCGCGTCGATTGAGAAGCATGATCGCCATTCGCCAGGACGGACTGGCGGAATTCAATTCTTTGCGATACGCTAAATTTCACTAGTGATATTAGAGTACATCCGAAGGTGTCGAATATAAGGCGACGTGTCGTTTTAGCGTCGCTTCGTAAGAAAGCCCGATGAGCGGTCGCAAGAATCCGACGGGCTCGTTTTCGACCCGGCAAGAATGTCGCAGGCTTCACACACACATCGATATTTAAATCGACCGAGACGTATCATATTATATACAAATCTTTTTAACGTCGCAGAAAAACGTCTCGCTAATTTGTAAATATACCTACGCGTCGTAATTTACCAAGGGTAACAGGTGCCATATTGTTTGTTGTAACGTACTCGTGCTTTATATCGTGTAGCGATCGAAAGATTTATCCGCGAGCTCTGCATGGAGAAAAATGTTGCTCGAACGAGTCAGCTTTCTGCTGAAGTATGAGCGATTCGAAAATTGCGGTCGAAAGTACCGAAGAATTCTTCGCAGTTTTAGCTGAATTCTGACGGGATCGGCATAGAATTTCGGTATCGCCCATCTCCCGGCTGAAAATTGTCAACATGAAAATTCTCCTATCTTATGCTTCATGTTTCGTTGAAAATTGCTTCGTCAAGTATTCTTCTCCGCGCACGCGCGCTTCGAGTCGCCGGAAGAAGCGATCCAGTTCGATTCTTGCAACCGAGTAGTCTTCAGCGGCAAAGAGCGAATCGAACGTCTAGGCCGGCCTTTCTCGATCGCGTTCCGCAGCGGATCGCGACCAAGTCTCGTCGAGATAAGAGCTTTTTTTATACATTAGATTTCGGATCCGATAAGTTAAGGATTTTCACGCGAAAGAAGGTGCAGATGTACATACATGTAATCTCGAGCTGTCCACGAGCGGCTAAGGAGGGTTGTCGCGTTCGTCGTTTTCGATTGCCTTCGCCCCTAATTTCTCACTATCGTCTTCTAGTTTCCCTCTTTTCTACCACTACTTGTTTTTATCGACATTTTTATGCAATTTTACCGCGATCGACGCGTCGAGTCGGCCCTTCTCGCTCGGCCACGCCGGGATCCATCTTGGTTCCGAATGATCTCAATGGAAGAGCCCTGATGAGAGAAAGCAGAGGACGAAGAAGAAAGAGTGACGAGTATCGGCGTGATGCAGACGAGGCAGACGAGGCCGAGGAGGAACGGAATACAATTGAGCGAGCTCAAGTTTGATCACGAAAGCGACGTGATATTTCCTCAGACAGAGGATCCGTCAGGAACAAGAAGAGAATGTCAACGTGGGAGAAAGAAGCGCATCTAACATCCGCTCCTTGTTCCTCATCGTTCCGCTGCCCACTGGTGGAACGTTCGCCAGTCTCTACAAGCCGGCGCTCTTTTATATTCCCTCTTCCATTGTATTCCGACTGTTCCTCGGCCGTATTCTGCTCTGAATTGTCGAAGAGCGGCGCTCGAGCGCGCGTCTCCGTGAAATCTCGCGTTTACAGAGCGGTCGGTAAACGTCGAGAGTGTATCGGGAGCGCCTTGATCTGCGCCGCGATTCTGAACAATCGAACGTAAACGGACGCTTACAGTTTCCTGTGTTGTGACTGCTCAACTTTTGGTGGCGATTACACAAAGTGGAAGTGGCCGAGCGAGAAGTCCGATCGGGCGTTTGCGCCTTTTCACCCTGAAGAAAGGGCGCGAAGCGACGAACGTCGCGAAATAATGTTGAGGGCCGAAGGCACAGAGAGAGAGAGAGAGAGAGAGAGAGAGAGAGAGAGAGAGAGGGAGAGATTGGAAGGGAAAATCGCCGAAGAGAAAACCAACGGTGAACGAAGGGCGCGTTGCTCATCCCGAGTGCTTCGAATTACGTAGGCTTAAGTAGTTTAAGATTTTTTATACGAACGGGGGGAGAAGAGAGGTGGGAGAGAAGCGACGAGCAAGCCTCCGAACTTGCACTTCGTGATTGTCCAATCCGTTGTCCGTTGTCGTCCGTTTGTTTCTTTCGTCGCGCTTTCCTCTCTCGGCGGATTCGTCGCCTCTTCGTCTTTCACATCGCGCCGTCTCGGTGCAGCCGCGGTGCGACAACGCGGTCCTTTTGTGTTTCGGCAAACAGACTCACGATTATATGAATACTCTGTGTATCTGTGTAAACCTGAAAATTGTGTAAACCTGTTACACAGCTTTACACGATTTTTCGCCTGACTTTCTTCTTGCATAATAAATAACAGTGAGAGGACTAGTCCGGTCTTTTTTTTTTTTTCGACTCGAGGCGGTCCTTTTCGGATCTTTCGCAATGAGAACGAGGGGGGCAGGAGGGGGGAGGTGATTGATCCGTTGAGTGCGGAAAGAACGGCTCGACGACGATAGATGATCCTTTATAGTGTTCGGTGAATGAGTTTGAGTATGGACGAGTGCGATTCGCGATGGTTCCGCCAGCTGGCGGTACGGCTAATTCCTTACGTGAAATTTCACAGGGTAAAAGTTTAGGAGATGCAATCGTGTAGTTTTATATATATACATATAAATATATGTAAAGTTTAATATTTTATATTAAATATATTCTGTTAATCTTATAAATTATAATAATGTTTCAGCAAAATACTTTCTCGAGCGCGTACGCTCCGCGCGAGTCTCGAATTATAATTAAAATGTGCATATATATATATATGTGTGCGTGTGTGTGTATGTGTGTGCGTACGTATTAATGTACACACACGCACACACGTACACATATTGTCGGCTTTTCTCTCGAGATATATCGCGAGTCGCACTAGTCTGCTTTTCCAGTGGGAAAAGATTACATTTATACAGATGCAACGTGCACACATACACAACACACACACACACGTTCGCAAGGTGTAATTTAATATATGGCAAATTCTGCTTCCTTTTTTCCTAGCAACTTTTGTTTTCTTAACTCTGCACGAGGTAATCACCTTGACTATTTTGCCTCTCGATAAATCCATAAACGTCTGATCTCTTCGCATTCTTTCGACACTTTTCGTTACTCCGATTAGCTGGAAACTTTGATAAATGGGGTTGAGATGTTTCGGTATACCGTAGTTTCTAGAGAAAATTATACTGGAACGTAATATTCGTCATACAGGGTGTCCCAAAAGTAACGGATCACCCTATTAACACTTCAGTATTGAAGTTTCAAGGAAAATGATCTGAATAAAAGTTGTAGGGATTTAAGTGAGCTACCTTATGATGACCTTGACTTTGATCTTGACCTCTATTTTCAAGGTCATTTGAAGGTCAACTTGCGTTTTTTTAATGGGGACCCTTATTTTTTATTACACTGTTTTTTCTACTAGTTAATTTGAACAACTTTTGTCTGAAACATTTTTCTATTTGTCTAATATTTTTTTAGGTATTTGAGGAAAACTTGATAATTTTTTAAATATTTAACTTACGATATCTCGTTAACTTACTTAAACACCTACAACTTTTGTTCAGAACATTTTCCTTGAAACTTCAATACTGAAGAGTTATGAGGGTGGTCCGTTACTTTTGGGACATCCTGTATATCTTGGAAACACGGCCTAATTGGACGTATCTTCGCAGGATCTGATCCTGTAAAGATATTTATTTAGGTTATTTTTAGGTGCTGTGAAATGTCATCTCTACAGTATTTTCCATGTATCAAATCACAACCTGCGCGTGTACATACATACATATGTAGGTTAAGTTTCGAACCTAACAATGAAACTTATATTTTTGCGTAAAATGGGTTTTATTTTTCAATATAATCTTCGTTTAGTTCGATACATTTTGTCCATCTTTTCTAGTCTCCTCATTCCGTCAGCAAAGTAGGTTTGGTCAAGTCCTGCAAAACACTCGTTTGCGGCGGCAGTCACTTCCTCATTGGTCGCCAATTCTTTTTCCTCTAACCATTTCTTCATGTTCAGGAATAAAAGAAGTCTGCAGAAGGTTAGATCGGGCGAATAGGAGAGGGGAGGGGCGGGAGACCAATTCGCAGCGCAATTCATCGCAGTTTAGCCGTGACGATTGCAGAAAAAGCATCTTTTTCTTCAAATGCGGTCCTTTTATGATTTCTTCCTTCGAACGTTCTAATAATGATGCATAAAATGCGCCAGTGATAGATTTTCCTTTCTGAAGGTAATCGATGAGCAACATGGCCTGGCTGTCCCAAAAAACAGTCGCCATAACTTTTCCGGCCGAGTGAAGCATCTTCGCCTTCTTCGGAGTACGTTCGCCTGTTGAAGCCCACTGCTTTAACTATACCTTGCTTTTAGGTGCATAGCGATGAATCCATATTTTGTCAACAGTCACGAACCGACGCAGAAGATCCTTTGTATCCCGCTTGAACCGGTCCCTTGGAATGTGTCGGACGCGTTTTTTATCAGCAAACGCGGCACCCATCGCGCAGTCAGCTTTCTCATATCCAGGTTTTCATGTAATATTTTCAACATATGTTTAAAAGATACGCCTGTGGCATCTGCTGTCTCTCTGACTTTCAGTCTCCGACCATACAACACGATTTGATGCACTTTGTCGACCATTTCCTTAGTCGTGGTTTTGGGCGATCATCGGGTCACCAAACTTGTATGGCCATGTTTAAACTCGGTGACCCAAACTTTTACCGTTGAATATGAGGGAGCAGAGTCTCCGTAAACAGGATTCAGAACTCGGTTTTGATCTCCGTTGGGGTTTTCTCTTTTAGACTCAAGTATTTAACCGCGGAACGATATTCAATTTTTTTCCATTGTTAAACGAATATACTGATACTGCAACGGACTATCAAGACGAAACTAATCGTCGCATATGGCTGAACATTTGGGAGCAGTTATTAAAAAGACGTAACTTCCGCACTTTACAGTCTCCGACCAGTGACGTCATGTTCAGGCTCGAAACTTATCAAACTCACGTAAATATACGATTAAATACTTCAATCTCTAAAAGCTCCAACGGAAATCGAAACCGAATTGGGTTGCCGCGATGGTCATGCCTCCTATTCGCCTGGTCAACTCTTTGTGACTTTTTTATTGTCGAACATGAAGAAATGGTTGGGAGGGAAGAGTGCATTCTGCCCAAATATTTAAATGTTTCGTTGGTTAGGCTTGAAACTTACCAAGCAACCCACGTATACACACAGGTATATACATGCACATACATAACATATTCACACATATACATTGCAGCGAGGAAAATGTGGCGCGGAGGTATAAGAGGAAGAGAGGGGGAAAGAGAGAGAGAGAGAGAGAGAGAGAGAGAGAGAGAGAGAGAGAGAAAATATATACGAGTATATATATATATGATAATATAAATATATATATCTATATATTTTTACTTACGTTTAAAGCAGATCTTTAATTGATTATTTATAATATATATACGTGCGTATACATATATATGGTGAAGCGTCATGTATTAATAATGGCGCGTTTGCGCGAGCCTCGCGTCGATCGCGAGAGCTCGCCGCGAGTTCCTTCACGAAGGTTCCCGCAAACGCATCGGACAGGCATACACACACACACACGCACACACACACACATACACACACACACACACACACACACATACACACACACACATAAACGTGCGATCCTGACTCCGCGAGATTCGAGTAATCGATCGAGTTCTTTCGTCGGCCAAACGCAAGGATCAGAGTCTATCAGGTGTCCACGAACTGTACCTCCTGGACGAATCGCGCGATAGTTGCAATTCGGAGCCTGCGAAGCGTCCCGAAAAAAATTAATTTTTCATATTTTTGATAGACGTCGATTGCGCCTGTAATAACTTTTATTCTAAATTGTGAAAAAAACGCGGACGAGCTTGATGTTCTTTTGAATTCGCGCGAATTGCGCACTTTGCCTTATAGTGATGTATATTCGGAAGAGTAGAATGCGTGATATATTCCTCTGTTAGAGGCGCCATACTTGCCGTGACTTTACCGACTGGGCTTTACCGGTTTCTTGCCGCAACTTTGCGTCCATGTTGCTCGCGCGAGATTGCAAATACTTCTACACTAGGGATGGGCGATTTTTATCGATTAATCGAAAGAACCGACAGTTCATTTTCAATTGATCGATGTTTTCAGATGATTTTATTTTTACTCAATTAATCGATGTCTGATGACTTTTTTTCTCAACATCGGCAACCAATTTTTAACTTTTTTTGAATAGAGGATTTTTGTAATATCGTTTTTCAGATAAACCGAATTCATGAACGTTAAGTCCGGATCTACAATATATATAGTAAGCTTTAAGTCTTAAGAAGTTGGCTAACCCCAGTTAATTATTCTTGTAAAAGTAGGTTGGGATGGGTTAATTTCTTAAGGTTTAAAGTTTGCTATATCCATTGTACAGTCATGGACAATATGGTTGTCCGGTTTTTATTGATAAGTTTCGGAACGTTGCCGAATGGCCCAATGAGAGCACTTATCTTCCCAAAATTAACCCTCTTATCATGTGGAAAATACATCAAATGAAATGCCGAGTTAAAAGCCTCGCACATTGACGCGATTACCGACGAACAGTAAGCGATATCTCTTATGAGAGTTCTGTTTTAAAAAAGAAATGAAAGTTCTTTCTTC